CACTAAACTGGGATAGGTTACTTCTCTCTGAGCCTCAGTTTCCTCACCTGTAAAATAGGCACAATAGTATTAGCTGCCTCAGAACTTGCTCCGACATATAAAGGAGTCCATATAAAGTGCTTAAGGAGCACTCACTAAAAATCGGCTCACTGTATCCTGCATCCTTCCCATCGGTTTTCATTGTATGGATACATGAACTGTCAACTCTGTTAACTGGTGCTCAGAAAAGCATAGAGATTCTCAACTACCCACAGTCGAGAACTCCTGCTCCCCTTCCCTATCTCTAGACCATTGCTTCTGGAAGTGAGTTCCCTGGACAGTATCATTAGCATCATCTGGAAACTTGTTATCAATGTCTATTCTTTTTAAAAAATATATATATTTTTTATTGATTTTTTACAGAGAGAAAGGTAGAGGGATAGAGAGTTAGAAACATCGATGAGAGAGAGACATCAATCAGCTGCCTCTTGCCTACTGGGGATGTGCTCACAACCAAGGTACATGCCCTTGACTGGAATGGAACCTGGGACCTTTTAGTCTGCAGACCGACGCTCTATCCACTGAGCCAAATCAGTTTCAGCCAATGCCCATTCTTGATCCCCACCCCTGACCTTCTGAATCTCCAGAAGATAATGGTGCATGCTCAAGTTTGGGAATCATTGTTCTATCTGTCCAGGGAGAGATGCTAACAGAGAAGCTTCACAGTATCCCCTCCAAGGTGGATGCCCTTTAAGGCCTTCCTTGTAAGTGCCATCTCAACTATATCCAAACTAGTAAAGATGTCCCCAGAAATGGCCTCATCAGCAGTCTCATGTGATAAATGGGCCATCAATCCACTCAGCTTCCACTTTACTTTGGCTTTTCTTTTCCCACCTGTGGCCAGACCCAGGTATGTATCACTTCTCCCTGGTACAGACTCCCAGTTTTCACTCCATCCTGTCTCCTCAGGGTGAGAGGGGTGTTAGCCACGTCGCTGAAAAATATCTGCTAAGGATTCCCGACACAAAGAGCTTCCTGGACTCTGGGGAAGGTTCTAGTTTTACCAGCCCTGCCCATCCGGTGTTCCTAGGACTCAGGCATTTTTTGGGGCCCAGAATCTTGGTTTTCACCATGACATTTACAGAGCAACTGGCCTGCCTTTTGAAAAGCACCCAGGGCTTGGCGGACAGCAATAGGGTGGCTGGTCTCCAGCAATTGGCAAACAGTGTGGCACACTAAATGTCACTGCAGGCTTTGTTTGGTTTTAAATTGAAAAATGGCAGAGTTATGAAAGCTTATAATTCTTGCCTAGAGGAACAAACATCCCACTCTACCCCGGAAATGAGCAGCCTCCCCCTGTCTCAACTCATCCCCCTTCGCCACTCACACACTAATGGGCACCCAAGAGCCATGGAGCCCATGACTAAGAGTGTGTTTCCAGAACTTCTCTTGCTGCTGGCAAAGAAGGCAGCACCATTACTAATTCAAAGCAAGTCTGACCTACCTACGCACAGACCCCTATGCACATTTTCCCAGGATCCTCTACCCTTCCTTTTTGTTCTCTTCTTAAAAGGAACATTCATGTGGGGTTTGTTTGTTTGTTTGTTTTTTGTTTTTGTTTTGTATACAAACATCCATCACCTGCAGAATTCTAGTCTGAGTCTTACAACCAGAAGGACACTCAAGGGCATAGAGCACATGTGTCAAACACAAGGCCCGCGGGCCAAATCCGTCCCGCCAGGCCTTGCAATGTGTCCCGCACCGCGCTGTCATCACTGCACTCCGCTGCGTTTCCATCACAATGACAGTTTATGACTGTTCAGTAAACCATTCGGCCCGCGATTTAGGCTGGATTTTAGATTTTGGCCCCTTCTCTGACTGAGTTCGACACCCCTAGCATAGAGTCTAGACTCTGCTTTTAAAGTGATAAGTTCTTGTTCCATATACAGATGATGAGGTCCAGAGAGTAAGCAACCTGCCCAAAGAGAGTAAGTGTAGAGCTCAGACTCCGGGCACCTGCCTCTTTGTCTCTCTTCCCCTGATCACCAGAGAGCAGCCCTCAGAACTTGAGTACAGCTCTTCATTCGCTCGTTCTTTTCCAGCCCAGCCTGGGACCGAATTTGGTGTCAGCAATATAGTTAATCCCAATGTGTCATCGTTTCTGTTGTTGTTCAGCCAACTCCCTTCTGCTAGTGCATTTCAGTCCTGGAGGGAGGATGCCCCACTCTCTATGCAAGTGTGAACATGCGAGCACCTGTCGGATGATCTGGGAGGAACCAGCCTTCCTTTTCCATTTGCTAGTATTTAGGTCAAAAGTAGGCATGGTCTTGGATGGTTCATGATCTGAGTCTTATCCAACAGGCTTGACTGCCAAGACCAGGCCCACAATGGCTGACCTCCTGGGACCAGAGGACTTGAATTCTAAAAGTGTCTGAGACTTTGGTTGTACCCCATTTGTCCCTACTTAGGCTTTTTGTTTTGTTTTGTTTGTTTTAATCTTGAGAGGAGGAAAAAAACAGGTCAAACAAAAAGTCCTCTGGTTAGCATGTAGAACCAGCAGTGACCCTAATAGGTCTATCTTCTCCAATCTTTCCAACTCTGGACCTCTCCACCTCAGCTTCCCACTGTTAGACCCACTTGGTACTAAGTAGGGTGATGTGTGAGCTGAGGTGAAGGGCCCTGACCTGGCCAAACAAGCTTTCCTGTGCCCCAGGCAAGATTCTTGTGTACAAAGGGCTCTGATTGTTATGCAGCAATTTTGTGGTTGCATCTATTGAACTCCTACTGTGTCTGTCCCCAAACCATTGCCCATGTTGTTATTTTCCCTTTGTCTTCCTCTCCAAATCCTACCCCACGCCTTTGTCTCCTTCAATCCTATTCTCCCTCAGTCCTTCCAACCATACCCACCACTGAGCCTCAGCTGCCCAGGGCTGCCTTGACTGCAAATGTCATGAGAAAGTGGCTGTGACAGAACCAGAAGAATAACCAAGCTAGCATGAGGCCCCTCCTCTCACCACCACCACCACCACCTGAGAAAGATGGGCAGAGACAGATAAAAGTTTATTTCACACGCCCTTCACCTTCCCTCTAAAGGCATTTCCAGAGAATTTCTCTGCTGACAAAAGAATGAGTCAGGAAGATCCATAACTTTCCTTACAAATCTCCTGAGTGAAGGAGAATATGTCCAGGAAGCCACTTCTCATTTTAACCTAAACTTCAATGGCAGGCAAGTTTTATGGAGAGACCAGGCTGTCTTCTATAATACTTTTCCCCAATGTCCTTCAGCCATGTGCATGGTTCTCTCTTTAAAGTATAGCAGGGAGGAACTTATTTTAGCACTGCAGAAACTCAAGTCCATAAAATGTGGCTTCTGGCTCTTAAAATCAATGCCAGTCCATGTCAGAAGAACTGCCACTGGCATGCAGAGCAGTTTTTAAAATGTGTTCTGTGGTTGTGGACCTCGGTGCCAGTCCTTGCCACTCCGACATTGAAGTCAATGGCAGCTCGTCATTCAGCTCCAAGACTGGACAGGAGGCATTTGTGTACAGCCCACAGAACATCAAAACCCTAATGCACCCTTAGCAAGGATTGATTACATCTCCTTATTGGGGACCACATGGCTAGACTGGCCCTCCTTTGTGAACGTGCAGGGCATGTCCTACACTAGGAAAATGTCCTTCACTGAGAAAGGCGCTGGGCTATGTGTGCAGTCAAGTTCAAGCTTTTCTTTGTGACCTTTCAGGCTGTCCATCTTGCTTGACTTTTTGACACTTCCTGCCTCACACTTTGTGCTCCAACAATATTAAACTCATTGGTCCCCACAATGCCTCAGTTACTTTGTATGGGCTGCCCTGGTTGGAATGTCATGTTTCCACTTCCATCTATCTATATCTGGGCAACTTCTACCTACTAGTTATGATTCAGCTCAACTATCACCACCATTATAAACTTATGGTCATAATTATGAATGTGGTTGCCTCCAAAACCAAGCAGCTCTAGGGTCAAATCTCTGTTCATTTCTAAGTCACATTACCACCCTAAACCTCAGCTTCCTCATCTACAATTTGGGAGTAATACCACCAAACTTTCAGTTGTCAGAGGAAGATGTAAAGCACTCACTGGAATAGCTGACACCTAGTGAGCACTCAAATTCAGTAGCTATGCTTCTTGTTTCCTGATTTCTCCACTCTGCCTTCCCATTCAAGATTGGGATGGCACCTTTATCATTATCCTTTTAATCTACACTATTGAAGAGTAATTTACATATAATACATGTAAATTTTCAATGTATGGTTGGACAAATGTAGACATCTATATACACCTATGCAAAGGGAACACTCTTTACTCTTAAAGATTTCCTTGAGCCGTTTCCCAGTTAATCCTCTAGCCCAGTGGTCGGCAAACTGCGGCTCGCAAGCCACATGTGGCTCTTTGGCCCCTTGAGTGTGGCTCTTCCACAAAATACCACAGCCTGGGCGAGTTTATTTTGAAGAAGTGGCATTAGAAGAAGTTTAAGTTTAAAAAATGTGGCTCTCAAAAGAAATTTCAATTGTTGTACTGTTGATATTTGGCTCTGTTGATTAATGAGTTTGCCGACCACTGCTCTAGTCCCTACCCCTGGGCTCAGGCAACCACTGATCTCTTTCCATTGCAAGGTATAATGCCTTTCATAGATCATCATCTAAATGGAGTCATACAGTGTATACTCTTTTGTGCTTCATTCACTCAACATAATGGGTTGAGATCCTCTGTGTGTCACAGTATTTGGTTCCTTATTGTTAAGTTTCTAACCTTGTATTATAATTTTTATCTGATTCCTCCACTAGACTGTGAGGCTCTCAAAGATTCTATTTCCTCCTACCCCCTCACCCCCACCCCTTTGGTTCCCAAATCAGCACTCAGTAAATGTTAGAGGGAGTTGCAAAAAGGATCAGCTAAGCTCTTGGCTGCAACCTTGCATCTAGTTCACCCTTGGAGGCAGTATTCCTGTCCCCAGCAGAACCCCATGCGCAAACACTTACAGCAGCCAGTCCACAGCCACCAGCAGGCTGATGTCCTCCGTTGGCAGGCCCACAGCTGTCAGAATGAGGAGCATGGTGACCAGTCCAGCACTGGGGATACTGGCTGCACCGACGCTTGCCAGTGTGGCCGTGAGGCTGTGAGGACAGAAAAGGTCAGGTCACAGGAAGAGAAAATGGCCTTGGCAAAATCTTCTCTGGTAGTTTTAAGCTTTCATGTTCCTAGCAATCATAAATTCCCTTTTCTTCCCAAGAAATAGAAAAATGTAGAGTTCCAAGACCCAGGAATTTGGGTCTATTTGGATTCTGCTTAACTGCAATGGAAACATATATATTCATGAATTGGAGCCTTATCCCCATCATGATATTCCAGTAGCCTAGTTATCATAGGCTAAAATAAAATAAATGTGGCTCTAAAATCAGTTAATGAAATATTAAAGAAGAAAAACAAGTCACTTTGATGCTCCCACAGGAACACACTGCATTCTGCTTACGCCTTTATGTCTCTTTGAGACTTCTGGACTATGTGGCAAGAATCTGAGAAGACCATTGCCAATGTTAACATGAGAACTCAGAATAGAAAATATCCAGACCCAGTGGACATCAGGGGAACAAATCAATAGATTCCAAATGACATTAAGCTTCAGATGCCTGGACGGTTCATCATGGACTGGAAAATCCATCAGACAGAGGATGCCAACAAATGATAATGAAATAACGGAAGGTTGTTTTTTTGGGGGGCACCTTGTCATTTGCTTTCCAAGCAATGCCAAGGGCACACCGAGCACCATTTTGAAGTTATCTCTGGAAGGGGTTCATCTAGGTTTCATGCTCCCTTTGGAAACACCAGGGGCCTCTGTGGTCCAGCAAAGGGCAGTGACTGTCTCCTCCTTTCTAGATGCTATTTATAAAAGCTGTCCTTTCTAAATGGAAGGATACTTCTGAAAATACAGATTCCCAACTTGCTTTTGTGGGTGCTTGAAAGAAAAAGGTGCTGATTTCTTTGCAGTCATAAAATTCTAGAGTTTCTAGAGGGCCCCGCCAGGCTCCTAAACTGGGGTAACCAAGTGTAGACCACGAGTATAATATAACCAAGCACAGAATCCTGGGGTCTTCCAGTTGGGAGGGACCTGAATTTATCTAATCTCACTATGAGGAAAGGAAAGCCCTGGGACATTTTGTGGTTAGCCTTATCTTTCCATATTTTCCTCCTTCCACACTTAGGCCTGTTACAGTTAAGACACCTTCCCTTGGAGGGATCTACAAGACTCATCTGTGCTCTTCCCTGCCCCACCAATATGGTCTTGGTGTCAGGGTTTAGAGAACTCCATTTTCCCTGGATCCATCTGGGTCACAGGGAGTAGCAATGTGCAGTGATCATCATTCAAGGTTCTGAAGTTGAACAACCTGGGTTCACATCCCAACTCTGCCATTTATTCACCACATGACTTTAGGCAACTTAAACTCTTTGTGTTTTGAATTCCTTATCTGTGAAAAGGAGATAATAATGGGGTCTCATGCATGGGGTCCTTAGAAGCTAATAAATAAAAAGCACTTAGAAGATACCATTGTAACCCACAATAACGGTCCAATATTATTCTTACTGAAAGATCTGCACAGGGTGAGGATGCTTTGTAATGAAAACTTCCCTTAAACCCCAAGAGCTGGAAGGTGGGAATTCTCAGCCACTTCCCTGACATGAATAAAGCACCAGGGAAGGGAACTTCCCAAGTTCCAATGACCTTGACCTCAGCCGTTTACTTTACAATCCCAGCTGCTTCTGTTATGAGTCACTCTTACACATGCCTTTGCACTATGGCCACATTGTCTAGTTATAGCTTGGTTGTGTGTGACAAATTCTACAAAGAGAATGCTTCCTGGCAGCTGGTCCCCCTCAGCTCCTCCACCTCAATAATGTCCTTATGGGCTGAGTGTCCATGCCATTCTAAGTCCTGCAGAAGCTCCCTGAGCAGTGATCTCCTCTCCATTCCTTCGTCCCTTTTCCTGTCCTTCCCCTCCCTGGCTCATGTCTCTAGGGCTAGTTCTTGGATGCTGTGCAAGGTACTGCACACACATTAGCAGAACCTCAAGATAGCTCTGCAATGTTCATATGGTAGTACTTGCTTTCCGTGAGGAAATCATGGGTCAATGGGTAAAGAAACGTAGAATCCCACAGTCAAACATGGTCTGTTGGGATTTGAACACTTGCCTGATTCCAATGCCATTCTATTCCTGCTGTCCCTTGATTCCTCCCCACATTAAAAATTCTGAATTAATGAATCCCACCCACTTGGTCACTGGTCCATTCTCCCATCTCTATGATCTCTTTTAATGGTGTGAACTTGATGGGCAGTGTAGTTGTCTTTAAGGCCAAGAAACTCCAGGGCCAGAAATCATCTTTGCTTGGCTCACTAAAAGAAAGGGCTTCACTAAGGCACCCTTTTCATCTTTGAGTTTTAAACAAGGGAGCCTGGCAGTCTCACATGCAGTTAGGATATGATCTAAAAGATAATCTGATCTGATACTTCCCTCACCATGTCGCTGTCATATTTTTCTTTCGTGTTCTGAGAGTATTATATTTCATGTAGTATCAATAACAGTAATAATTCCGGTAGCTAACATTTATTGACAGGTGACTATGTACAAGACACAATGCTCTCAACACCCCTAGACTATGTGATGATTGTTCCAATTATACAGATGGGAAAACTGAGGCACCTCTATAGTGCTGCTATAAAATGAGTCATGTCTCCCAAAATCCATTTGTTGAAGCCCCACTCTCCAATGTGATGGGCTTTGGGGGGTAATTACCGTATTTTTCGGACCATAAGACGCACCAGTTTTTAGAGAAGGGAAATGAAGAAAAAAAGATTCTGAAACAAATAGTGTCCTAAAATATTTTATGTGCATTAAAACCCAACATCACAGTCATAAACACATGTAATCAACCCTGTAAAGTAAACAGCAGCATTTAGAACCATTTTAGAGTCGGGCAAGCACACAGAGACCACACAGAGCCGGGCAAGTAAAAAAACTTTTTTTTAAAAGTATATGTGTAGGCTATATTTGGACCATAAGACGCAGGGACTTTTTCCCCCCACTTCTGGGGGGGAAAAAGTGCGTCTTATGGTCCGAAAAATACGGTAGGTCATGAGGGTGGAGCCCTCATGATGAAATTAGTGCCCTTATAAGAAGAAACTTATGAGGTCAGCTATTTCTGTCCATACACGAAGAACAGACCATGTGAGCAAAAACAGTGAGAAGAAGGTCATATGCAAGTCAGGAAGAGGGCATTCATCAGGAGCTGAATTTGCCAGCAACTTGATCTTGAACTTCCAGACACAAGAACTATGAGAAATAAATTCTATTGTTTAGCCATCTAGTCTATGGTATTTTATTCTAGCTGCCTGAGCTGACAGGGTAGTTGTGAGAATTGGATAAATTAAGATAGGCAAGTAGGTGTGATCTTTAAGTTTATGAAGAAGCCATGTGTTTTTAATGACCTCTTGAGAAAGTATTCTTTCTAAAAATTTTAAATGATACATATGGTAAAAATAGCTTTATTAAAAACAAAACTACTTGCTATTTATTTGTAATTAAATGTTTTATGTTGACTGAGGAATCTCTTCCTTGCAGTATTTCATCATTTCATCCATCACCACCTGGAATGCTGAAGGAAGCATGTTTTAATGAAAGACAAACTGGATCTAGAGTCAGATAGCGTTGGCCCCAGACACAGCCCTGCTAACTCATTACTAATGACGTAGCCTTGGACAGATGTCCAAGCCCCTCAAAGCCTGCACTTCCTCATCTATTAAACGAGCATAGGGAATAACTGCCTTGCGACATCATGTAGTATCAATAACAGTAATAACATGTTAAAATTCAAATAATATCAAGTTTCCAAAGCAATCTCATATGCCCAACACAAGCAGAAGGCATTGGTATGAGCCTGCTTCTCCCCTGCCACAATGTTTTCCCTCTGAGACAGCCAATCATTCCTCTCCTCTGTTATTTCCTTCATCATTCTCCTGCCAGGAGAACTGAAATTCAAGTGGCCCCTATCAAACCAATTTAGTGTGGGAGGGGACAAGGTAAGAAGGTTGTTTCAGGGCTTCACCCCATCCAACTCACTCACCTCACGGTCACAATCTGGCCTCCATCCAGGACAACACCATTCATCTGGGCAATAAAGATGGCAGCCACTGCTTCATACAGGGCTGTGCCGTCCATGTTAATGGTTGCTCCAACAGGGAGGACAAATCTGGTCACACGCTTATCAATCCCCAGGTTGTCTTCCAGGCAACGGAAGGTGACAGGCAAAGTTCCAGCACTGAGGGACAGAGAGAGAGAAGGAGGGGGAAAAGGAGGGAGAGGGAGAGGGAAGAGTTAGGTTCACTGTAGAGAAGCAGAACAAAGAAACTGGAATGCCACCACCACATCTTTGTTCTTCTGTTTCAGTTGAGCAATGCGACATGCAAAAAAGCAGTGTCTGGAGCCAAATTGAAAACAAGAAATTTGAAGGCTCAAATTCACTCTTATTAACATGCTAATAGGCAGCAAAATATTTTCATTGTTTCAGGTTTTTGAGATCTACTCAGAGCTGTAAGTTCTCTTTTTTCCTTTGGTCACTATTTCCATCTTGGAAGCCTAATTTAATTGGAATGGATGGAGGAAAAAAGGTCAGAAAAGAATCAGCTGTCAACTGTGAAATGGAATGAAGAATTATTGAATGACCCATAATTTCATGTTAGAGGCACTGATTCCAAGAAGATGACTATATGGGTTGCGTCCAGCTCCTGGGAACTGCCCTGAGCTGTGCCTGCTAATTTTGCAAAGGCTGGACACACACATTCAGCACCATTCAGCCTGAACCCAGGCTCCTAACAACTCACGGGGGACCCTCACAGGCATTCCAACTCCCTGATAAATGGCCAACTCTACAGTCTCTGCATCGACATAAGGCAGAAAAGCATGTACTTTGTAGCTCATCAAAGACCCACTATGGAGTGACTTCATCCCCCCTCCTCCCACACGTCATGGGATTTCATGACCACATGACCCAGCTCTAAGGTCAGAATGCCTGACAAGGTCATGCATCTTCTAAAACAAGAGACCTGTAGGATAAGGTTTACTGAAGGCCAGGACATTGTTTCCATGTGAGTAGAGGTGCCTGGGAGGGTAGGACATCATGAAAAGCAATGCAGAATACTTCAAGTGCCACCAGAGTGCTTTGTGGTCTATTCTATCATGTGTTTGTTTGTTTTTTTTAAATATGTTTTTATTGATTTCAGAGGAAGGAAGAGGGATAAAGAGATAGGAACATCAATGTTGAGAGAGAATCATATTGTAGATTGGCTGCCTCCTGCATGCCCCACACCCCCAGGCATGTTCCCCCTCAGGGAATTGAACTGTGATCTCATGGTTCATAGGTTGATGCTTAGCCACTGAGCCATGTTGGAAGAGCCTATTCTCTCTCTCTTTTTTTTTTTTTTTTTTTTTTTTTTTGTGTGTGTGTGTGTTTTTCTCTCCTGCATTTACATCCTTAGTCATGGTTCCTCCTTTTACTATTTAGAATTAGGGCTCCAGCCAAGCTGCACAGTTGCCTGCTGAAGTCTCAGTTTCTCAGAGAATGGAAGAGGACCATCACCTTCAGAGAACCTACCTGAAATGCAGGTTCCCGGGCCCACTCCAAACCAAGGAAGTGAAAGCTGTAAAACTCAGGTCACCTAAACCTGCATTTTATCAAACCACTGACCCACAAGCTACCAACACCAACCTAGAGAAGCCTGAGTCATCTGACTGGAATGTCCTTTGTGAGTTCAGGTTAGAAGTCTGTCTCGGGCCCCCTCCTTGGCCTTAGGTAGGAAGAAGAAATAAACCCAGGGAGAGAAGTTGGGATCTGGCTTCACTCACAGGTGGGGATGTCATGGAACCTGGTACCTGGCTTGCTGTCCCCACTGCTTTCATGAGAAGTTAGCATCCCTTTCTCACCTGCACCTTCCCCCTCCACCCTTTCTGGGACTCCTTTGAAAGGTCGCCAGGACACCACGACTGGTCTGAAATTGCTGCCCAGTCATGGCTGGCAGCCAGAATGACCAATGGTGTGACTCTATGGACACTTGTAGGAGGACTGGAATACATTAATTTGTATTATTTCATCCATGTTCCCACAATGGCATCCAAGGGGTCCTTCGGTAATTAAGCAGATTAGGGAAAATACTGATAAAGTATGCTCCCTTTCTATATGGGACAGGCTCTGTGCCTTAACAATCCATATATATACCCAAACAAGTCAATCTGAGTCCTGAGCATTTTAACTCTTTCTGTCCTTCCACATCCACACATGGTTTTTTGGGTTCTTGTCTGAATGGCTGATGACAGTCTTCAACTGTTGCCAATAATAACTATCAGATACTTGAGAGTTTTCCCCCCAAGGTTAATTTTAACAGTGTGCACTGGAGTTGGAGGGAGGCAGAGAGGTGTGTCCCAGGCCATTCCCCCTCCGTCCGCCTCCCTGACACCAGCCTCTGTGCTCACTGAGAAAAGCAGGTCAGCCCCTTCCACATCCCCATTCAGACCAAGGTCCCAGGGGCGGAAGGATATTTAGCTGGCTGTCCTGCAGCTTTGTATTTTCCCCTCTGGCCATGAAGGCAAAGAGGCTTCTTAGTAGGTGACTCCTGTCATGTTGACTTAAAAAGTTTTTTCTCAAAAAAAAAAAAAAAAAAAAAAATTCCACATCCACATTTTAACTGAAGATTAAAACCACACTGGTTTCTTTTTCTTTTTTCAAATGAAATTCAGGGTAAGGAGGAGAAAAGGGTCACACATTTGTGTGGCTTTGGTCAAATAACCCAAACATTTGTCTGATTTAAAGACAAACACACCTTTAAGATTGAGCTTGTCTTGTAAAGGTACTGGGTTAAATGTCTAGTCATTCAAAGAAAGAATAATTGTAATATTTTTGAGACAGTCTAAAGACCAAAACCACAAATGTATGGGAACAAGACATAAAGTAATGCTTTATAATCTTTTGTGGAGATGTTCCTAAGCAAAGATGAAGTTCTAAATACTAAAGCAAAATACTGACCGCTCAGACACATGAATTAAAAACTTCTGTAGGCAGAAAGTGTTGTAAAATTTAAAGATAAATGTAAAGTAGAGGGAGACCTCATTTGTCACAGGTTCATATTCTGACACACGAAGAGAGTTGAAAAACAACCAGAAAAGGATGAATACCCCAACGGGAAATTAAGATCACAAGCAATTCACAGAGTGTTGAGTGGAGGGCGGAATGGTCAATAAGAACACAGAAAGATGCTTCTCTTACTTGTAATCAAAGAAATGCAAGCCCAATGAGATCACTTTTCACAATGAGACTGGAAATTACTGAGGTCACTGATACCCGCCGGTGCGGTTGAGGAGGCGGTGAAAGGCAATCCTCTCACACCCATGTAGCGGGACTTCAACCAACACACTTTCCTGACTAGCAATCTGGCAATATGTGTTAAGCCACCAACATGCTGATAATTGCACTCAGAAATCTCACTTCTAGAAATTTATCCTGAGAGGGTCCTTGGACATCCTTGTGGAGATGTAGTTACCAGGATGCTTGTCACCGTCCAGCTTAACGGACATGCTTCCAATGTACATCAAGGAGTGTGATGGGGGTGGGAGTGTGGTACATACAGAGTACTGTTATGTAGGGTTTTTTTTTACATACTGGAGAGATCTATATTATAGGGTAGGAGTAATTTTTATGATGTGTTGGCCAGGAAAAATAGCAGACTACATATCTATGTATAGTAAGAACCAAAAAGCTATGTAACTAAATGCAAAGATTAACTAAAAGGTTACCAACCATCAATGATCACTGGTGGTGGGATCACTGGTGATTGTTAGATAGACGTGAGCGGAGCAAGGATGATGCTCCAGGGACAGAAACTCACCAGGGCAGAAAGCCCCAAATGCCTACGAAAAGGCAAAACTAGGAAAACAAGAACCTTGCCTCCAGAGTAACCTATGCTCCCTGAGCATATCACTCACTGGTCAGGCGGTTTAGATCCCTTGACCTTTTCCTCCCTAAAGATAACATCTAGGCCTCAGTTGTATTTCAGCTCCAGGCCCAGAAAAGTAGCAAAACTAGACAGTGTGGCTGCCTCAGGACCAGCTGCATTGACTTATGATCCCCTGCCCTGACACTGAACAACCAGTAGAGACCTGGACCCTGAAAGACCACAGCTGGAAAGCTGGTGAATCTTCTATTGAGACACTCCCCTGAGGCCTCCCCTAAGATTCCCACCTGCAAGAAAGAGATAAATATTCTCAGGACAAAGGACCCAGTTTGCTTCTTCCTCCACGGAGCATGCCCATGCCATTCCCTCCTCCCTTCTCCTTCCCCCACAGGTATGTATCCCCTAACCTCTATGGGACTCCATAAGACTTGCAACCAGGGGAGCATTGGGCAGCGACAGCTTGTCCTGGGTTAACCCCATGAGCCTGTCTCCAAGGCCTCCTTTTCTCTGGCTTCTCAGTGAGCTAAAGCAGCCCAGCCCAGGCTCTGCTGTTACTTCTTCTATGCCCTTCCTTGTTTCACTGTCCCAAGTATATTTTTGCTACAGTCATGACCCCAATGCCCTTTGGCTCAGTGCTGTGTAGCCCTTCCTTTTGGACAGCCTCATTCCTCTAACCCATTTTCCTTAAATAAATTTAATTTTTCTTTATTCACCATCTGAGATGGCTATTTAGACTGCCTGTGCACTACCACTTTAACCTTTCAGTGATATTCATTGTCTTCTTCAAAAATTTATTTATTGTCTAAACTTTTTACAAGAAGCACATACCATGCTCATAACCAGAAAGCAAAAATAAAAAACTCAACATAATTGTTTTTATGTTTGAAGGAGGAAAAAAAAGATTTACTTTTTCTCCAAAGAGAGAGGATCTTTATGGATAGAGATACATAGCCATAGAAAGTGTAAAGGCCCCCACAAAGAAAAAAGAAAAATTTGAAGTGTTTCCTTTCACCTTAGAAAATGATACAGAATCTAGAGCCCAGGATTGTGTAGATTTCAGATTTTCCTGAAACCCCACATTCGACTGGTCCTGAATCCTCATTGATTTGCAACATGGAAATACACTTTGGCTTCCAAGACAGTCACCACAATGTGCCTGTTAGGTCACTTAAGGAAAATCTGGCTGCCTGCTCAGTCGCCATGTCACGGAGCGGCCACCTCACTGGCAGTGTGGCATCACGGGCTCTGCAACAAGGGCCTGTTGACGTGGCTGCAGAGATAATGCTGAGCGTCCCTGCCACCTGCTTCATGACCTTAGTCTTAATTTGTGACCCAAGGAAATACAAACAGTGACTGCAGACAGGAAGAATAAATCACCAGGCATGTCTTATGTATCTGTGCTTATTTGTTTGTTTTGGTTAAATTCAGTCCAAGATAATATATATATATATTTTTTTTTAAATTGTTTTCTCTGAGTAACTCTGGGTCCTCATTGGCTCCTGAGGTGAAGGAGTGAAGGAGATTGTCAAGACTATGTCAAGCCTGATTTTCTCAAAATCAATTCAGCAGGAAGGTCAAAGACTGGACTGATTTCTGGTTTGTTTGAAAACTCTCACCCAACATACCATTTATCCTCTAAGAGCTCATTTTCCTATTTTTGAAAAATTATTCCAATAATCTGTCTTTTGTGATAGCATTTTTTTTTTTCAAATCACAGGTGGCAGAATTTCTTAAATAGAACAACACTCTTTTATACCCCTTTGAAGAACATTTAAAATAACTAAATGCTACATGTGGCAAGTTAGGCATTAAAGATTAACTTAGAGGCACGATGCATGAATTTGTGCATGGGTGGGGTCCCTCAGCCTGGCTGGCGATTGGGCCAATGGGGGCAGGCAAGCCAAGGGTAGGGGAGGGACCTTAGGAGGTTGGCTGTGGGAGCACACTGACCATCAGGGGGCAGCTCCTGTATTGGGAATCTGCCTCCTGGTGGTCAGTGCATCATCATAGTGACCGGTTAACGGGTTGTAATGGTCACTTAGGCTTTTATACATATAGATAGCATGCATCCATCTGATAAATTTCATGTGAAGTCATGTTTCCTGCACAGTTTGCCTAGAAGCAGAAATGTTGATCAGAAAGCTCAGAAGTTCCTAGCAAGAGTCCAGAATACAATGTGTTCACCTTTTTCAAAAAATACCTTACTAAGAAGTGAAGTGTTCTCACTGAACTTTGTGTTGGGAAGGATTTTGAAAATGAGGAAGTGGCAAAGAGGGTAAAATAGTGAGCAGAGAGAAAGAAAGGTGATTTCTGGGTTCTCTACCTGGAAGCGGTGCCCAGGGCAGTGATCCAAGCTTGGAAAATGCCAGCAAAAAAGGTGAAAGGGTTTTTCCTGGTCACTAGAAAGTAAATCAAGGGGAGAAAGATGCCCCCATGGATGATAAGGCCCACAATCACTGTGACCATGTACATTCCCAGTTGCCGAGCAACCACTTCTAAGTCCTTGATGGCAATGATCTTCCCACAGATTAAGCAGGCAATACCCAGCGGGGAGTACCTGAAAAACAGAAAGGAAAATAAAACACTGATGAAATCATTATGGGATTCAGAACTTACATCTGGGCCTTCCTATGTTGCTGCACCCTGATGTCAACTTTGCATTTGGTCAGAGTTTTGCTGAAAAGGGGCCATGAGACTCAGTAGATACCACACATTACTTCAGACTAACTGCAGCATCTAAAATCTGGCCCATGGATTTGGTGGCTCCTGCTGATAAGAAATCCAAAAGCAAGCATCGTTGCTCAGGCAACGTTTTAGGAATAGCGGAGACAAGCTTTACTATCACTTAGGGAAGCACCAATCTTAACATTGAGAGGCCACAAGTTACATCTTTGTGAATCTTGTTTGACTTGTCTTTCCACAGCTCCTGCCTTGAAACTTGGGGACAAATTTTGAGTTTCTCAGAAAGTTCACTAGAGTACACAAACTTACAAATTATGAACTGGTGTTTGTAAGTTTGCTTTGTTTTCACCTTGGAAGACAGGAAATCTATTTAAGAGGGAGAAAGAAAGGGGGGCGGGGAGGGCACAGAACAAGAAAATCATCTGAGTCAAACAGTACCTTGAGAGAAATGTGGTTTATCATTTGTAAGTCTGAAAGTATTCCTTTCCATACTGACTCTTGCAATAACACTGGCTCTCTACCAGAGCCCTCCACACACATCACCTCATTTAACTCTTACCATAATCCTGAAATGTAGGTATCGTTATTTCTATTTGGCAAATGAGGAAATTGAGGCTGGGCAAAGTTAGATAACCAGCCCAAGACAATGAAAGTAGAAAGAGGAGAACAATCTCAGATCTGTAACCTGCATGACTAGGGTTTTTCCCCCCTTACCAGGCCAAACCACTTCCCTTTAATGAGCAACTGTAGCTCTTTGTAGATAAGCAGATGATACACTCGGTACCAATGTATCCCACATAAGCTCATTTTAACATCTTTATTGTAATTATTACTTCATAGAGCATTTGGGAGCAATTAATTGCTGTCCTCAATCTTCAGTAAGCTGATCATGTTCTCTCTCATTTCAAGTGTATTTGTCACATGTTTGGCGACATCTCATTTTTCTTGCCCAATTTGCGGCCGTTGGAGCTTGAACTTGCTCAGGCTGCAACACGGTCTGACTGAAATGAAAATGTTTGTGGGAACGATGCAAACTTATTAAGAATTATGAGAGCAAGCCGTAACCGGTTTGGCTCAGTGGATAGAGCGTCGGTCTGCGGACTGAAAGGTCCCAGGTTCCATTCTGGTCAAGGGCATGTACCTTGGCTGTGGGCACATCCCGAGTGGGAGGTGTGCAGGAGGCAGCTGATTGATGTTTCTCTCTCATCTATGTTTCTAGCTCTCTATCCCTTTCCCTTCCTCTCTGAAAAAAAAATTAATAAAATATATATTTTTTAAATAACTATGAGAGCAAGACTCTGAGGAAAATGAAATCCTGGGCTGGGCTCCCATCTGGAGTAAGGGAGAGAGCACCTATGCCAGATTTGGGAGGTTGGTGTGTTTTTTTTGTTTTGTTTTTGTTTGTTGGTTTGTTTTTGTAACTGTGCCTAAAGCAAGCCCTTCCCAGGCTATAGGGAAGCTGTGAGGAGCAGAAGAGAGTCAGATACACAATCACATAAAACATGGAGCTCATCCAGCCACTTGCCAGCTGCATGACCTTGCTCAGTGACTCGTTCCCATTTTACAGATGTGCCAGCCAAGGCTTAGAGAGATCCCTCCTACCTCCAGGGGTTGCTGAGAGGATTACATTGTGAATATGCACATGTAGGCGCTGTCAACCAGCTTCCCCCATTCCTGCCAGCACAGGAACCCTTATATGTTCTGTTTCCCTAAACACACCGGTGTCCTCTCCTCATCCATGCTTACTGAGTTAAGTCTGAGTTACTGGGGCTTTCTAAAACATCTCACATGCTACTGTCACCCAAGTGTGGATTTTTCTTTTTTTGTTTGTTTTTTAATATATTTTTATTGATTTCGGAGAGGAAGGGAGAGGGAGAGATAAAAGCATCCTTGATGAGAGAGAATCATTGATCGGTTGGCACCTGCAAGTCCTCCACTGGGGATTGAGCCCACAACCCGGGCATGTGCCCTTGATCGGAATCGAACCTGGGACCTTTCAGTTCGCAGGCCAACGCTCCAGCCACTGAGCCAAACCCACTAGTCTAGTGTGGATATTTTTATAAGCAAAATATTTTTTCAAGAGGAATCTTCTCCTGAAAGAGGCAAGTTGTAGCTGAATGAATTCGTTAGGACATTAGCATAGCAACTGCCCTCCTCCCTGAGGAGCTGCTGAAGATAACCGCACTTCTCCTTTCCCTGGGGTGGAGACTGGCCATGTGTAGGGGCTGCTTCCACAGGCATCAGGAGGTCATGTCTTTAAACCCTGGCTTTCCCTCCATTTTACATGCTTCTGCTGTGCCTGTGGTCATAACGGCTCACAGATCAGCGGGGGAATCTCAAGGGCCAGCTCCTTGTTCCCTGAGATTTTAAGTAACTGAGCAAAAGGAACCTTTGCATAAAGCCAGCAAGCATTTATCTTCATAAACCAAGAGGTTAATTCTTTCTAAAGCAACCATCACCTTTTAAAGATGTCACACACACACACACACACACACACACACACACGCACGCACGCGCGCTGTTTAGGATGCCATCCAATTTTCCTTCTCTTTGGGGACAATTTGTAGACTGGAGAGAAAATGTTTTCAAGGCTCTTTGGCAAGCAAGGCCAGCTACAGAGTCCCCTGGAGAAGACACTTGAACCAGCGCCAAATGGATTAGAGAGGTAACAGGTTGCCTGGGAGCACTCAGCTCTCTGGGAGAAACAGGAGTTCCCGCTATAAATGGGGTGTATTCAGAGGCCAGAAGGTAGGGTGTTAGGGGAAATAAATATGGCAAGCAGGGCTCTAGCTGACCCTATACTTTGATCTCTGGAACTAGAATGAGACTTAATTAGGGCAAGGAAAGAGTCTTTGTTTTATGACATATTTTAGGGCCATTACTTCCCTGCACCTGTTTTTAAAACATAGCTGAAGCCCCCATGCAGAAGCTGAAGCTTTTCAGTTCTTGGGTTTCCATGTTAATGGATTATCTCATTGAAAATGACCCAGCATGGAAAAGAAAGGGCACACTGGAAGCTTCTGAGCTGAAGCAAACAATCAAAGCCATAAACCAACGTGCATGAAGAAGCTGATGGCTCCAGTGAGTGTTCTGAAGCCAAATGATGCCCAGTAATTGTTGGACCAGTTTTTAAATGAGGAGGAAATGACTACAGAGCTCACAGCCCTCAGATCGGTTGTTTCTTTAGCTCTGGGCACTGTTTTCAAAGTCAGCAATTTATCCAGGACTGGCCTGTCGAGTCTCTTCCTTACTGTTTCATCATCCATTCTTTCCTCTGTGCACTTTGTCCCTCAGTCCCTCCATCCTCAGGTTCCCACCAAGATGCCTTTCTTAGGGTCTGCTCTCTAGTCCACAAACACAAACTCATTCACAGCACTTCACATGCCTAGAGCTCAGTCTGTGCCTTCGTAGACACCTGCTTCAGAATCACCTGGCGTGCCTGGTAACAATATGGCTTCCCCAAGGCCATCACATACCTACTGAGTTAGAATTTCCCTGAGCTGGCCTTGGGACATTAACATTTTAAACAAGTTCCCAAGATAATTCTGACCTGCTTGGAAACCAGTGTTTCCAGGAATAAAATCTGATCTGCAACTGAGGTAATGCAGATATTGCTTGGTTAGCCTTTGGAAACCATTTACTAAGCTTCAGTTTATTCAAGGCCTGTTCGGTCTAGCCCACTAAATTTACTCAGGACTTATGGGCACAGGACAGATGGTAGGCAGGACACTTGGAGTGGAGGTAAGTGGAGTTAAAACTTTTGGAGTTTTGGTTTCAGTGAATAAAAAAAATGTCTCAGTCTTGCCATAAAGCCACTCTGATTCTGTCCCAGACATTTGCAACAGCTTGAAGTTGTTGCAAATTCCATCCATCTTGAAGTCAGACAGAAGCTAAGTTAGGTACGACTTCCACAAAGCTCCTATCACAACCTCTGTGTTTAGTTTTCTCACCTGGAAAATGGGGCTAACTAAAGTACCTATTTTTCTTAGGTATTATTGTAAAAAGTAAATTAGTTAATGCATGTAAAGTACTTGGGATAGCAGTAAGACTAGTTCAGGAATTTGGTGAGTCTTAGTATGGTTTAGTAATGATTATAGGTCGGTCGGTGTGGCTCAGTGGTTGATTGTCAACATATGAACCAGGAGGTCACAGTTCGATTCACATGCCCGGGTAGTGGGCTAGATCCCCAGTTGGGGGTGTGCAGGAGGCAGTTGATCCATGATTCTGTCATCATGGATGTTTTAATTTCTCTCTTCCTTTCTGAAATAAATAAAAATATTAAAAAATAATGGTTATAATAATAATTGTTATTATTATCTTCTCAGTAATAAATAGGTGCAATACAGTGATTGAAAGAGTAAAATTGCATATGGCAAGACATTAATTACTCTAGCTATAATTTAATAATTATTAGAATAATAATACCGGGTAATCTCCTCAATGTTCAATTTGCTATTATTACTATTCTTACTAACACATTGCGAAGAATACACCGAGAACTCTATTTAAGCTTTGAGTGAGTCAGTTAAAGAGTGGTTGGCTCTTTTACCCAGAACCTTTGCACACTCTTTGTTATCAAATGCTGACAAGGCAGCTTAAGAATGAAAGAAATGTGCAGAATTGGCATCTCATATCTTGTAACACCCTCCTGACTGCCTAGATGAGATAACTAACAGCTGTCAGAAATCATCCTGTAGGTCTTATTCCTGACTCACAATTGCTCTACATCTCCTGGGATATGATGCTACATCTTTAGGAGTGCTGATTTCAGTGAATAGGAAACTTCTTGATGCACACCACCCTCTATATCTGGGGAAAAGAAAGGCTGCATTTTATCTCATGACTCATTTGATTTCCTAGAAGATTCTCTTTCTTTCAAGGGCTCAGTGGAAATGACGTTGGTACAGATGAAGGAAGGAGCTTTCATACAACACCCACATCATTGGCATCATAAGACAGAGATCTGAACTGCATTGTAAGGGCAAGGATGCTCATTCTGCCATAAGGTCTAGGAAACAAGAGTTCTATTCTGCTTGATATAACACCATTTATTAAACTCCCTGTGAGCTCATAATAGATTGAAAAGACTTAAAAAAAATTTTTTTACAGCATCATATTGTGTGACTTTAAATCTTCACATGAAGGAAATATTCAGAAACCTAGTATTACCCGAAGAAGTGGCAGAATCAGTACAATAGACAACCACAGAGTAAAACAATGATCTGAACAAGCCAGGTGTATTAAATGTGGTTCGTGAAATCACGAAGACCATCTTCACGATCTGAGACTCTGGGGTCTTCAGCTATCCCACTCAGTTCTGAAGTTATCCTAAGAACTTAGCACTTCAGGCACATCAGTGTGTTCCATTTGGTGTAGATTAAAAAATCAAGAATAGATTTTTGCCTTTGCAAGGTGGGAGCAGGGACCAAGGAAAGAAGAAGAAAAAAGGTAAAATTTCATGGAATACCACAGAGAAGGGAAAGAGGACCAGAGGGAGGTTGAGGGTGAAAGTGGGTAGGCCTGGGACATGAAGAGATGGGGAGTTCGTCACCCAGAATCCCCATGGCCAATAGAACACAGATGTGGTTTGGTGTAATGTTTTGTTGTTTTATTTTCTAGTCAGGCATACAGGACCATCATAAAAGTCTGAAACAAATGCATGTAAAAATCTGTCAGATATGAGACCACTAGAAGGTTCCAGCAACAGAAAATGGCACGGCTACCTTGGTGAAGGAGTGGACACTCATGATCTCCTGGCTACCCCAAGACTTCAGAACACAGACCACAAACACACATGAAATGAAGTGGAGACGTTATTGCTTAGATCAGTGGTCGGCAAACTGCGGCTCAGGAGCCACATGCAGCTCTTTGGCCCTTTACGTGTGGCTCTTCCACAAAATACCATGGCCTGGGTGAGTCTATTTTATTTTATTTTATTATTTTTTATTTTTATTTTTATTTTTAAATATATTTTATTGATTTTTTTTTTACAGAGAGGAAGAGAGAGGGATAGAGAGTTAGAAACATCAATGAGAGAGAATCATCGATCAGCTGCCTCTTGCAAACCCCTACTGGGAATGTGCCCGAAACCAAGGTACATGCCCTTGACCGGAATCGAATCTGGGACCTTTCAGTCCGTAAGCCGAAGCCGATGCTCTATCCACTGATCCAAACCGGTTTCGGCAAGGGTGAGTCTATTTTAAAGAAGTGGCGTTAGAAGAAGTTTAAGTTTAAAAAATTTGGCTCTCAAAACAAATTTCAATCATTGTACTGTTGATATTTGGCTCTGTTGACTTATGAGTTTGCCAACCACTGGCTTAGATGATTCAAAGGAAAGCACCCCACCCACTTTCCCATCAAGGATTTTTATAGCAGTATGATGAATTCCAGTTCTCCCTACCTATATAATTTTAGAAAAGTCCATTCACCCTGGTGAGCCTCAGTTTATTTTTCTGTAAAATGGGAATAATAACTCATCTTTGCAAGGTTGTTGGGATTACATTTGATAGGTACTAAGCACCTATCCTGGCTCTTGGATGATAAAAGAAAATCAATGAATGATAGCTTTTATTCTTACCATCATCTTGATGTTGAAGAATCAAAATTTAGTGTGTTCAGGCCACAGTTTCCTCTTCTGTATAACTAGGTGGCCAGATTCCTAAGAGTACTTACAGTTCTAATATATCTTCTGTGATTTCACTTTTGCTTGCATGGTCTGAGAGCTGCCTCTTTTTTCTTCTATTTGTGTCATGAGTAACTAGGTCAAAGATGCACTTCTTTCAGACACCAGGATACTGGAGCAGTAGGTCATGCCAAATCCCTGGTATCTTGGGCTTATTTTAATTTCTGATACTGCTCAGCTTCAGTACTACTGATTGGTTTTTCCAGCTTATCTCTCTCTCTCTCTCTCTCTCTCTCTCTCTCTCTCTCTCTCTCTCTCTCTCTCTCTCTCTCATATTTTCCTCTTCCAGGACAGGAATCAGCAAACTCTTTATGGAAATGGCTAAATAGTAAATATTTCAGGTTTTGCAGGCTACACAGTGTTGGTCAGAGCTACTCAGCTCGGCCATTTAGCACAATAACAACCCTAGACAATATGCAAATAATCAGGGTGGCTGTGTGGCCACAGAACCTTATTTATGGCACCGAATGTCAATTCATATAATGTCTGTGCATTGTGGAATATTATTACTCTTGATTTCCCCTCTCCCCCAAGCAAAATAAATACACAAACCCCATTCTCAACTACCGTAGAAGGCCATCCAAAACAAATGGCATATAAAATTTGGCCCATGGGCTAGTTTTTCCATCCCATTTTTTAGAAGAAACTAAAATAAATAGATAGATAGATAGATAGATAGATAGATAATTTTAAAAAAGATTTGCATCCCTTTCTCAAAATCCTTCCAGAGAGCTCTATGCTTGGTTCACACCCAACCCACTCTTTTCTGCTGGGAGGGCTCTCATATTTTCTGGGGACCCCAAGACCTCCCTCCCCTCCCAGACCACCACAATGAAGGAAGAACAAGCCCACTCACCACATGATCATGATCACTAACTTCATTACAATCTCATTCAAAATGCTGAAGAATTCCACCATCAGCTTGGCTTGCTCGCCCATCTTTCCCATGGCGATGCCGAAAGCAATGAAAAACCCTATCAGACCTGTGGAGGCAATCACATTGCACAGAAGGACACAACATTATAAAGTCTGTGTTTCCTCTTGCTTGTTCTTTACCATCCCTGATGTATGAGGCCACATGCTCATGCCTGCTACCCACCCTGTGGATGAGGCATGAAGAGACAAAAGCATTAGATGTCAGAAGAACTAGTCATACCTTCCCCCAATAATGATGGCTTTCCTCAACACTGTCCCTGAGCCAGTGTTAGCTCCTTAAAGAGAATGAATTCATTTTCATTCCAAATTATTATAAAAAGTACTCTCTACTTTCTCCTCCTCACTTATGGTGTAATGTGTAAGCAGATTTTATTCGTGCATAGATTAATGAAAACAAGGTTTGTTGGGACTTGGGGATTAGCAATGCAGACTTGGGAGCCAATATGAGAATAACAGAGACCAATTAGCCAATAAAGCCTCTGCCAGGGTTATGTCTATATTGGTTTGGGGTTATCCCAAATTAATGCATGGCTGGTATGTTTCACTCTAGGAAAATCCTAAACATAACACTGCTTTTCTACGGCTACTGTCTAACATAAGAAGGAAGAGGAATGTTGAGAAATCAAATAGAAAGCAAAGAGAAATCCAAAAACAGCTGGGAAACCCCAACTGACCTACTTTTCTGGGTTTAGTCTGTTATTAATTCATCCTAATTTTTTTCCATGGTTAAAATGATAAGAATGCTTTTTAAAATTGTATTTTTTTCAGGATCTTAAAGACAGAATTTAGACTTTGTTACTTCCTAGCCCCCGACCCCTTCTCCCTTCTCTTGCTATTTATCAGTTGGCTTACATCTAAGTCCAGTCCCACTTCAGCCTCCAGGGTCCATCTTAACACTTCCACCAGAGGATTTGAGAAGCTCCATCCCTGTCTCTTAATGTTAGCATCCAACTGCAGTAAGGCCTCCACCAACTCCTACATTCAACCTTAGGTCTTATTTCTGTGTTTGTTATTCCCTGCACCTGAGTTTTCAGTGCTAGGAGCCTACACTATATTTTAGTTCTTTTAAGGCCTGGCTTTTCTCTCCTCACCACCGCCAGTCTGGCCTGGAGTCTCACTCTGATTGCGCTGGGATGGGGTGCACTACATGGCTCATGAAAGTCCCCATGACTGCTTGGGACTGTCTGGATTTCTGATTGCCAATCACCATGTGCTCCCTCCCCCACTTCCTGGCCCAGTATTGCTCCTCATGGGGCTCCATTTCTGACAACTTGCAGGGACTATAAATCAATGTTGTTGTCTCCTTGGCTACAGGATCTTACTGCCCATCTGCTTTTCCTCTCTGATCTCTCTTCCCTCTCTCTTCCCCTTCTTCCCCTCTCTCTTCCCCCTTTTCCTCACCCCTCACCTATGCCAGTTTGGCAGGCCTAACTTCCAGTCCCTCCTTCTCATACCCAGTTTCCTATGGTGTCCAGTTATATCAGGGAAATTGTAACATAATCTGATTCTTAGAGAGGAATTCTTTCTCTGAAACTCTGATTTCACCTTTTCCCTAGTCACCAAATCCACTTTCCATCCCACACCAAGCACATATCAAGCCAGATTACTCAGCTGCCCTTCACTGGACCCTCTCCGTCTTCAGCAAAAAGAATCTAGTACTTGCACTCGGGGTTGTTAATCCTCCACATTTGCTATTTCCCCTTTTCAGCTCTTGGCCAAGAAGATTGACAAGTGGCAGACAAGGGAGTTTGTTGGCCATGAAGGCAAAGGCTCAATGAGAATTAGGTCCAGGAGAGAGTGGCCTAACTCAGCAGCAATGTATGAAATCAGATCCAGGCTATCCTCAAGCCCTTCCCTTGAGCCCTGGGAGAGGCATATGCGGGGTGCATAGCGAGAAGTAATCTGAACATTCTGGCCGAGAGCAGCTAGTATTACTGGGTTAATCCCACTTGGAAAATTGAAGAGAAAATGAGCAGGTTCTCAAAATCCCAAAGAACTGGAATTAAAAAGTTACAGCGGAAACTGGCCGTATCCTTGAGTATGAGAGAGAGAGGAGCCATCAATGGCCGGTGGCGTGGCAAGGAGCCTAAAGCACTGGATTAAAGGCGCATGCTCCCACAGGCAACGTAAGCAGGTGGGATTAGGGTGCAGCCCAGAAGTGCTCTGGGGGTTTCTGGGAAAGAAATGATCTTAAAAAAAAAAAAAAAAAAAAGCGTGAGGCCAGAGCCAGGGTTTTATCTTTATTCATTGCAACGCTTGATCCTTGGGACTTCCCTAAGCCAAAAACAAAACACACAGACATTCATTATCTCCGCCTTTGGAAAACCATGGAAAGAACCGTTATTTCAGCCGTGATTTGTAAATGGGAAGTTTCTCAGCAGCCTATCGTCCCTTGCCTTTCCAGAGCTTCAAAGTGCACTTGAAACCCCTGTCCAGCTCGCTATTTCCCTGTGGAAACACTGAGTCACTGCACTCACTGGCACGGGGGTGCTTCATTTGAACAAAGCCCTCTCAGACTCGGTCACTGGTATTGAGAGAGTAGTGAGTGGTGTTGAAATTCCCCAGTACAGTCAAAGGTTGCAAGACTCTGGAAACGACCTTGAAAGTCTTCTGAATGATTCACTCCAAAGCTCTGGAATTACTCATGGCTTCAACTTCCTCCGGCAAGACCAGGGAGCCATGTGGACCCCTGGTTTGGGAAAGCCAGGGTAGTTGGGAAGGTCCTGAAACAGTCACAGATATCTGGACAGTGGGAGAGTGAGCTACTCAGGGGTGGATGCTGAGGAAGTTTGCAAACCCTCCTTCTCAGAGGACTCTTCCACTCTCTCCTTGCTCCTTCCTCCTTCATCTCACACTGATGTCAACAGTGTTTATTTATCTTCCGTTGCCTGGCAACCAAATCAGCTTATCACCACCCTCACTCCCACTTACTCAACACTTGCCCAACCTGCTTCCTGCCGGGCAAAAAAAAAAAAAAAAAAAAAAAAAAAAAAAAAAAAAAAAAAGAAAGAAAAGAAAAGAAAAAAAAATCCATGCTGAAATTTTTGCTTTTCAGTAGCTGGACAACCCCACCTCTTCTCCCCCTACCTCTTCAGACCATTCTGGATAAATAGGAGTAGGGTTATCAATTTTAAAATGAACAAACAGGATATCTAGTTAAAATTTGAATTTCAGATAAACAATAAATAAAAAAAAATTAATTGATTTTAGAGAGAGAGGAAGGGAGAGGGAGAGAGAAACACTGACCACTCCCTCCTGCATGCCCCCTACTGGGGATTCAGCCAGCAACCTAGGCATGTGCCCTGACTGGGGATATACAATGACCTTCTGGTGCATAGGACAACATTCAACCAACTGAGGCACACTGGCCAAGGCAAAAATAAGTATACTTTATTTTAATATCAGTATGTCCCATGTAATATTTGGGCCATACACTAAAAAAAAATTATTGTTTATTTGAAATTCATATCTAACTGGGCATTCTGTATTTTATCTGACAAGCCTACTAAAGAGACAAGGGCATTCAATCTAGATGGCCAAGTGGAAGGACCACTGAGCTCTCCCTAAACAACTCTCCCTCAAATCCTTAGAAGTCTTGCTTGCATGGATCAATATACTTCCTCCACCCAGATTCCTCGTATCCCCCCCTTTGTGGCCAATGTCCCTCTTTCTTGTCTTGGAGACACCATTCTACCCCCAATAATAGCAGATGGGGGTTACGTAGGGAGTGGACCCCGGGGAAGTAAACTGAGCAAACTGGAGTCGCTCACATTATGGGGAAGTCTCTCCTCTGTGGAGAGTTTTTCCTTATTGAATTAGTTTGTCAGCTCACCTTTAATAACGACAGTGGCTCACATGCATGAAGCACATGGCATGCACAATTGTGTTCTACAGGCACAATCTCATTGAATCGTCATAATGATCTGCAAGGGCAATGCCATCCCATTCCCACTTTACCAATGAAGCTTGAGAAGTGAGGCAGCTGCCTATGGTCAGACAGCCCGTGAGTGGTCCGTAAGGGATCCAAACCCAGTCTGTCCAACTACAGAGCCCAAGACCCACTAGGATGGAATGCGAAGAAGGCTCCGGGCTGGGGGAAAGGGCTCGTTTAAATTCCAGAAAGTTGAACAATATAGACTCCTTGTGATAAACTTCTTTTGACACCAACACTTTATGTTCCTGATAGCGCTGCATTTGTTTATAGACTGTGAGAGCTGGTGTGGGCCATCCCCCATGCCTTGCACAGTACTGGTATGCAAGGGCAACTCAAACAAAAATGCTTAAGAAATGAAAGAACTGGATGTGTAACTGCATGAAATGGAGAGTCAGAGAAAGTTACTTGTTAATGCCTTGCAAAGTCAGGGATCGTGTCCAATGCATGTTTATCCTGTCTCTTTCCCCATCCCTGACCTCTACTCCTCATGCCCCCTCCTGGTATTGCTGCTGCCATCTCCCTTTTCCTAATCCCTCTGCTATCAGCCCCAGCAGTCCTCCAACCACTCTCCTGCTCCACCTAGCGGACAGCAGGGCCATTGGTTTCCTGAGGAGAGAGTGAGGGCTGCTGGGCTGCTGAGATGCAGGAGAGGCTGGCCATTGTCTCTGAGGCAGAGATGCCTTCCCCAGGGAGATGAACACCAGGTCACCTACCTAAGACATTCATGCCGTCCTTGAACTCCAGACCCTTCTTGATCACCATCTTCATCTCCTCCGGTGCCTCTGTTGCAGTCTCGGTCAGCAGGGAGACCACAGCGGTGGTGACGTTGCTCTCTTCTTCTGACTCTGGTGCCTCCAGGACTTTCTTGGTCACTGTTTGAATCTGACAGAGTGAAAGAAAAGCACAGAAAGATGAGGTATGCTCTAAAAGGTTACCAGAAGCCTGGCTGCTTACGAGTTTCAAAGTTCCCAGTTAGGTTAAAAACAATTAGGAAATGCCAAAACAAGGTTATGAAGATAAGGGAACATTTTATGTTTGAGCTTAACAGAATGAGTTCTTTTCTTTTTTTTACACACACATTTGGTGGGATACAACTGTCCTCATCACATGATAATTACAGGGCTTATTACACATATTGGTACCATACTACAGACAGAAAGCTTTAGTAATGGGACATGAGCTTCAAGTGTGTGTGTGTGTTGGAGGGTGGTGGTGGTGGTGGTGGTGTCTGATTCTTTTATTCCAGTGATTGTAGCTCCATCCCTCAGCACAAGGTCAAATTTCCTGCATGAACATTCTTCATAACTCTGAGGTCCCGTTGGATGTCCCTCCCAGCCCCTCATGATGGAACCTGGTTGAGAAGAGGAAGGCAGGGTCTTGAAGGGAGGTAGAGCAGCACCATGTGATCTGCCTGTTTCGCTCCTTCCTGTCTGGCTCCTGTGGGACAAAGTCTGCACAGACCAAGTCGTGTGGGTCCGCCCAGGGCCAGGCTCTTCTAGGATCTCCATCTGGGTGCCAGATGTGCCAGCTGCCAGCAGCCACGGCAGCAGGGGTGCTGGCTTGTATTTCAGATCCAGATGAGAGGTGAGGAGACATCTGCTCCTTCTAGATAGTGATGCCAAGCCTTACTCGATGTCCCCAAGCATCTGCGCAAATGGCCTCCCAAGAACTGCGCATGCTATTCCTCGATGTCTGTGGCAGCTGTCCTATTTTTAAAGGTGCCAGGCACCCTGTGTGCAGAGTGCTATGAAAACCCACATTTGAGCCCAGAGAAACACTACAGCCAGGAGCATTAAAATAGAACTCATGCGGGGGTCCTAGAATGTCAGCATCGGCATGTAGTAGGCAACAGATGGCTGAGCCCTGAATAGCTATGGAAAAGGAAGCATGGAGAACTCAAGTGACTTGTCCGACCTCATAGAGTTATTGGCAGAGCTGAAACTTGGACTCAGATGGCCTGACTACCACTGAGTTCTTTCCACCACATGTGCTGCATGATAAACTCTATGGGCCCAACCCTGCTGCAGCTGGACCCAAGACTAGGCAATGCTTGTCTGAGAATTGATCTGAAATAGGAGAGAACAAAGCATGGGGTTCTCCGAGGCGTGGCAGGGTGCTCTCTGCTAGCCTGGCCACATGCTCTTGCTCAGGGAGGGAGGAAGCCCAGACTGAGTGTGTGATGTGGGGAGCAGGTAGGTGTAGGCCGCTGGGTCTGGGCAATGTTGGCATGAAGACAGAATTCAGGATTGCCCAGCTGGTGCGGCTCAGTGATTGAGCATCAACCTATGAACCAGAAGGTCATGCTTCGATTCTCAGTCAGGACACATGCCAGATTGTGGGCTTGATCTCCAGTAGGAGGTAAGCAGGAGGTAGCTGATCAATGATTCTCTATCATGGATGTTTCTATCTTTCCCTCTCCCTTCCTCTCTGAAATCAATTTTTTTTTTTTTTTTTTTTTTTTTTTTAAAGAGAGAACTCCATGAGCATCCATGACCAATAGAACCTTGCTCCCAGGAACAAAGGAGCCACAGGAGCCAACTCAGACCTATCCTGAGATACTAAAGCTACAAGGCTTGACTTCAAAGCAAGTGACATCATCTTCTAAGCAGCTGGCTCAGGGGCCAGCACATTACGCAGACAGAGTGCCAATAAACACCCCTTCCTTAGCCTGTTTCCATCCGCTTCCCATCCGGCTTCCCCAGCCTGGTATGGCTCTTGTTAGTATAGCTCCTTGTTATAAGTGGTACCAAAGCGGCATTGGGAGGCGGAGGACATATCCCAACCCTGAGTAACTTAGGCTCCACAGTGGTTGGAATTGCATTCTGGGGGCAGCTGGCAATACAGTCTTTTCCTCTAAGTGACTGTTTGCTAAGGCCATTCTTCTGGGATCCCCTGGAAATGGCTGAAGGAAGCTTCTTGCTTCCAGTTGAGTTTCTACTGGAGCTGATGGAACTGAAGTGTATTCTAACCTGAGCTGGCCTTGGGGCCAGACAGCAGGCTGGTGAGTGGGCACCATGCAGCTATTTCAGCGGTTCCACTCAGCGGAATCATCTGTTTTTAAGAATCACAGTTTTAAAAATAGATGTGCCTATTGGCAGTTGGTAGAAGTATACATCGCTGGAAACTTTTGTAGGGCCATTTTGCAACGCCCAGCAAATACAAAATAGAAAACTCTTTGGCAGGACATTTTTGCTTCTAGGAATTTACCCTTTAGAAATACTATGCAATCATGACAAAAGGAAGTAGGTGAGGGGGCAGGGGAAGAGAGAGAGAGGGAGATAGAGAATGTTAAAACACTTTTATTTTTTTTTAATAAAGCTTTATTGTTCAGATTATTACAGATGTTTCTCTTTTGAGATGGGACAAAAATATTACACCTATGGATGAGGACAGTGGCGGGGGTAAGGGCATGGGGTGAGGGAGGGAACCGGGTGGAGGGGAGCTATGCAGGAAAAAAGGAACATCTGTAATAATCTAAAACACTTTTAAATGAAAAAACAAAGTGCAACACAATATGTATAATGCAGTAGCACTTGGGTGGAATTAAATTTTAAACATTAGCCCTGGCCAGTGTAGCTCAATAACAGAGCATCGGCCTGAGAACTGAAGGGTCTTAGATTTGATTTCTGGTCAAGGGCATGTACCTGGATTGCATTCCCCTCCCCCTCCGGGGTGGATGTGGGAGACAACAAATGTGTCTCTCTCACACAGCTCTCTCTCTCTCTCTCTCTCTCTCTCTCTCTCTCTCTCTCTCTCTCTGTCTCCTTCCCTCCCTCCCTCTCCCTCCTTCTCACTCTCTCTAAAAATCAATGGAAAAATTTCATTGGTGAGAATTAATAAAAAACAATTATATACAGATGCACTCTATACATACTCACACAAACTCAACGTGAGTAGCTCTAAGGAAGGGAAGTGAAAACTTGAACTTTTACTTTATATATATCTATACAAGTTAAACTTTTCACAATTCTCATGTGTTACTTCCATGGTTTTAAAAATACCCCATTCCCAGGTTTTGATTTTATCAAGCACATGCATTATTAAACACACCACATGTGGGTTGGTTAAACTGCCAATATCAAGTACCAGTGGGAACTCTAGAGGATTGTGGGCAAAGGTGATTAAAATGTGCCCTTGAATGATGCAGAGATGGAAATAAAAAAGAAAGGCAAAACAAACAAACAAACAAACAAAAAAACACACACACACACAAAACAAAAGAAGTGGTATTATGAGGTAAAAAAAAAATACACATGACTCCAACTCCCAAATCCTTCCCCAGTTCACCTCACACACCCCTAAAACAGAGACAATCAAATGCTAGGAAAATCGCTCTCCAGATTTGATTCATTAAAACAGATTCTGTTAGCATCGGTGTAACTGGGCTTGTGGAGAGGGAAGAACATTAGAACGTTGGCGTTACCTGTTGAAAACAGGCTTGGACAAGATTTTCCGGGAAGAGATTTCGAATGAGGTCCAGAAAGGCATCCAGGCTGGACACTTCGTCATTCTTCTTCCCAGGCCCCAGCTGCTTCTTAAGTTTGGGGTTCCCTGGGTGGATAGCCAAGACCAAGATGACGCCCAGGACCGCGGCGATGATGGTGGTGGACATGTAATACACCATGGCTCTCGTGCCCAGGCGCCCACTGGCTTTAGCATCCAGGCCTGACAACCCTGGATTGGAAAGAAATCAGAAGGATTAATTCCGTGATGTTTCTGAATACCTAGAACTTGGGGATGCAGAACCCATCTCTGCATACCTAGAACTTGGCTTACTATTATTCAAATCCATCCATGCTAAGTTAAACCTCTTTCTACTAGCTAGCTAGCTGGTCAACCCCACAATGTGCAATTGTGTTTTGCAATTCTGTTTCCCATGTTTAACAGAACTGGGGAGAGCTAGAGACCTCCGGTCCAGAGTGTAAAAGCTGGTTGGTGACTACTTTTTATCCATCTGCAATGTTGAGTTCAAGTTGAATCAATTCAAGTTTTAATTCTAAGATGATGTCCTTCCCTCTGATTTGGTGTCAAAATATCCTTTCTTTTATGAAGGCATGGTGCTGGTGCATGCTAGTTTTTTACTTGCTTTCTTTGTTCTTATTGCTTTTAATGTCCTTACGCAGGAAAATAAGAAACTGGTAGCCCTATGGTAAGCCTCAACATTTTTTTTACTATGTTACTGGTCATTGAACTGGAGCCCGGAATACTGATGTAGCATAGCCCTTCTTCCAGTCTCGATCTTGTGTAGGGATTGAAGGTCACAGGCATGAGCCACCCCAAAAAGAGGGGTGCTTCATCTCTACTGGCGGTGGTTGAAGGAAATCCCAGCAAGTCACAAAAATTCCAGCCTTCATGGGTATTTTCCAGTTGTTTCTTTAGTTTGTCTACTTCTCAGTTTCAGTTCCTGCTTTTACGATAAAGGGAGAGTGCACCCATTTTTTGGCATGGGGAGGAAGTCATTGATGTTAACTTTTTTGGACTAAACTGACCCACATATGACCCACTTCTCCTTACAACCTACAGTTTCATTCTAGCTAATGGGAGCTAGGTTTCCTCTCCAGGTTGGCCAGTGTACAATCTGTTAAACAGGCATGCAGAATGTTTTGTCTGTTTCGGAAAGGGGCATTTAAGGTGAAAGAAAGCACAGTTTCACTCAATCTGGGCTGAATGAAATGATAAAATTTTTTGGAAACCGATTCCCAGCATTTCCAGTCACGGGGCTCACTGGTCGAACGGCTATGAGACTGTAGAACAGCCTGGCATAGCCTCAGAGCCCCACTTTCTTCACAAGATGGACAGTCCAGAGGGGCGAGTTTCTTAAGGTCACCCAGCCTGTTGGCACCTAAATATAGACCAAAGCTCAGGGTCTCACCTTTCACTCAGCGCTTAGTCTATAAACTATAACAATATCTGTACTGTTCTAGTAATATCATTTGGTAAGAAGGAGAGTACCCATATAAGTCCATGGAGAGAAAAAGATTCTTTCATATTTTCTTTTTCAGCCAAAACAAGTGACCATGAATATACATAAGGGTAACTTTCTTCTGAAAAAGTATGACAGCTTTTATATCTAGTATTTCATTTATTTTAATATTTACTTCCTTCTATACACAGTTAAATAGTAAAGAAACGTTTCCTTTTCTATTTATTACCTTTATCAGTCTCTGAACAAACTATAATCTAGAAAATGAGAAAAGTATATATTAAAAATTGAAAGCACTACAGATACCATCATTTTTAACATAAGGCTGTTTTCTTTTTATCATTTGTTGCTGGACAGATGGATGGACTGACCAATAGAAGGCAAACTTATTTTAGGGTTGACTGTCCTCGTTTTAGAGACAGAAAAACAAAGGCTCAAAAGTGGAATGACACAGATGATCACATTCATCCCTCCAACTAAACTGATATTCAATGGTCAATCCAAAAGCCAGCGCCAGAGTAGGACCCACGTGGCCAGGCATCAGAGAAGGACTTACCTGTGATTAAACTGGAGATGATGAGAGGGAGGATGAGCATTTTTAGCATCCTCATGAGTATATCCCCCGGGAAGGCTATTAGCATAACCACATCAGGATGGATTGGAGATGCCAGGCGGAGAAGCCCTCCACTTACTGCCCCCAGGATGACACCTATAAGGAAAGGGTGAAATCTGGATTATTATTGTTTTTTATTCTCATCAAATACATAGCTTTAAGAACTTATCTCAGTGACATTCCCCTTTCTCATACTTCTCTATTATCAGATGATGAATATTATGTAACAAAAATACCACTAGATAAGTGAAGCAGATGTTGATGAGTAAGAGAATATTTTGTATCTTCAGCTATTCTAAAAGGCAGCTCTGGGAAAATCAAGAGCATTCTCAAGGCTTTATGGGAAATATGTCATGGCAACTTGACTCCAACATTTTTGAGGCCACCATCCACGTGTAGAGTCAGAGATTGTTAGTAGAAGCAATCCAAGTGCCAGACATTGCTTATCCTTTCAGCCCAGGCCTGGCCATATGGCATGGGTTGAATGTATTTCTTTTCTTTTTTAACTGAATACCTGGTAAAGGGAGCATTTGATTGACTAAGCTGATGTGAGTTTCTTTTTTTCTTCTAATTCTTTTAATTTCCAATAATTTCCCCATGAGACTTTTGTCCTGGACTTCTATAGCCTCATATATATACGTTCGACTTGCTGATCTTATGGGAGATCAAGGAGGGTCTCTAAAGAGGTGTCATTTGGTAGCAAACAACTGGGGCCAAGATGCTGGCAGGAGCCTTTCACTTTGCATATTCAGGGATTCCACAAGAAGAGCTTCAGATCTCTCCAGACAGGCGGCCAACATAAACAGTCCTTGTGCCAACTACTAGTCAGGTCATAGCACCACAGGCTGTGAGGAAGGAGGGAAGGAAGGAGGGGATGGGGGTTCCAGGCTCTTTGGGCAATTGTGTTAACCCCTAGCTTGCAAAAGGTGAGACATGGCCCCAAGCCTGATCTTTGCTTCTTCTCCAGGTGAAATCTGTACTTCTTCAAGCCCTATGATGAATGACCTGAGCTTTTGTGGAGGGTAACCCTTTGAAAACCCTGCCAGGCCTGCGGTTTCTTTTTATGAAGTGAACTGAGCTATGGCATACTCCCACCCAAGATGACTGACTCAAAGCAGGAGCCATGGAATGAAGGGTGTGCGTCTGTGTGTGGAGGTGGAGAGGTGAGCTGTTCATGGCTTCTGTGTGCTGCCCAAGCAAGAGCTGAAGAACAAAGGAGGGGCTAGGAAAGGAAATGGTGTGGTTGTCATTACAAGGAACTGCAATTTACCATAATTTCAATAAACCCTGGTTGAAAACCTAAGGCCAAAATTATATTAACAGTCACACATTAAAAACAAAACAAAACAAACAAACAAAAAACAACAACAACTATAGCGTGGGTGAGGCCTGAAGCAGGGAAATAAGACTTTTGAGACTGACCAGGAGCAGATCAAGGCATCAGACAAGCCTCCCCGCTGCTGGCCTCAGTAGCTAATGTGCTGAATTAACGTAAGTCAATGAGATGTTTGGAGAAGGTTAGACTTTGGATGCCGTTTTAGTGATTGTCTCTGTCTTGATGTGGGTATTTCTCTCCATGCAGTAATTGACCACCTGTGTTGGAATCCTCTCAAATGTTTGTTATGATACAGAGTCCAGGGCTCACTCCAGGTGGCCCAAAGCAAAGTCTCCACAAGTAGGTGTCTCTGGGGACCTGTGTGTTGCCACCCTCAGGGGCAGTGTCTGTGCATACCGAGATCTGAGGACCACTAGGCTCCCTAAGAGCAAACACATGGATGGCTAGGGCAGGTGAGGGGCACGGTGACACCACTGAGGCCTGGGCAAAGGGGACCTTCACAGAGCGCTTGGAGGGCTGACTGCAGGAACCAGCTTCCCCACGGAGCCAGGAGAGAGCCAGGCAAGAGGGGCCGGTGGGGAGGCGTCTGCCACGTACCAAACACCGTCAGAGTGAGCAGCAGGTTCTTCCCCAGCTTGCTGCACAGCCGCAGCCCCAGGTTCCGGTGCTTGGGCGGCTCCTCCGAGCTGAGGTGGCTCTGGGGCATCCGCACTTCGACCTGCTTGGGCATGTTGTTGGCACTACAATAGAAGGGAAGGCTGTGGTTAGGGACCGCTGGGCACCTCCCCTAATCCATCGGGGGGGCAGAGCTAAGAGGAGGAGTAATGGCCTCCCCCAGTCACACCTGGGAATCTGGAAACATTGGCAAGAAAATAAAAACAAAGGAAGCAGCTCTGGATACCCTGAATTCCAGTTCACCCATAAGCAGGACACTAGGTCCCACCCAATAGCTACCTGCCAGGTGCTTTTGTTCCAATTATTAATACCTGGGATCATCACAGCAAAGAAGGGGGTTTTCTAAGAACTGCCCACCCCTTAACTCTCAGAGGCAAGTGTCCCTGCCCCATTTGACAGAAAGTTACTTGCCCAGGGTCACAGGCTAAAAGAAATGGAGATCAAACCCAGATATGTTCTTGGCACGAACACAGAAGTGAAAGCCAGGGTTAGAGACTGCTGGGCAGAAGGAAGGAGCTCTAAAACCTGAAGCTCTAAAGTTCATAGTGGCACAGCCTAAGTCTCGCTAAATTAAAATGCCTCCAAGTTCAAGCCTTCCCTGTCCGGGACACAGAGAAGTCATGCAGGATGGTAGTCCAAGTTTTATTTCTCAGAAAAGATGGATTATCCAGTTGTGTGTGTGTGTGTGCGTGTGTGTGTGTGTGTGTGTGTTTTTACTTTAATCCTTTGTGATTTTTCAAAGATCACTTGAATGACCAGGGCTCTGCTAAGCTGTCCAAGAGTCAATACAACTCAATGGCCAAGACCTGTGGTCAGAAGAAGCATGTGACCACCTTCATCCCCGGATGCAGCCCAGCCCTTTTCCAGATAAATCCCAGTGAGCCAGGCTGTGCTGGAGTCTGCAATGGAGCCCTTGCCAGGAGGATGTGCTTACTGCCTCTTCTCCCAGCTTTGTCATTTCCCAGGCCAATAAGATTTAAGCTTGAGGAGTGACATACAGAGGCCAAATTTTGACTTGATAACTTGGGACACTTTTGTTAGCTGCCATCTTGCAATCACCATCATTTCATAAAATAAAGGCTATTCTTTAACACTTAGAAAGACAGGCTGAAGTCTGAATACATAACAGAGCCTTGTAAGAGGGGGTGCTAGCCTTACCCAGATAATTGCACCACAGACTGGAGAAAGTGTCCTTCAGAACCAACACCCATCTGCAGACCAGTGGCTTGCAATCACTGGTTATAATGGAAAGAGCATGGGTTTTACCATCAGAGAACCTGGGTTTCAGACCCGGACTCCATTATCTGCTAGCTGTCTGATGTGTAGAAACAAGGGCTTGCTGCCAACCTTGTGGAAACAAACATGGTTGCATATGGCAAAGACCTGGCACATGACACAGATGGCTATATTCTCCAGAGAATATGAAGAAGAGACACATAATACTACTGAAGTTCATGACAAAGGTGACATTTACCTCTGGGATCTACCCAGGTGCACCACCATTCCAACAAGACACCACGCTTAGCTTCTAGTCTGACTTAAGGCCAGGGACCCAAATACAACCGCATACTTACTTTTACATAACAGGATGCTTAATATACAATATTTGCTAACAAAATGCTTTAAGATTTGGAATAAAGTTGTATGGTCTGGTAGCATACCCAGATGAAATGATTATTCAAAATATGAGTTTCTTACTGTTCCTCAATGCCCTCATTTTCTACTTATTTAGTCAGTTTTTGGGCAACCTCTGACTTTCTGACATATGTGTGTGCTAATGATCACTCAGACCATCTAAAGAAGAAAATAGGACACGACGGCTCACAGCAAGCATATGAGGTCCTTTCTGATCAGCGAGCAAAAATACCACTTCCTCTCAGCACCCAGGGAAACACAGAAAAGTTCTTGTTACAACACAGCGGGGGAAAATGATCAAAATGATCTTTTCAACATGGATAGACCAAATTTTTTATGTTTGCATTGGGATCTTTTAATATATTTAAACATTTTTTCAGCCAGTAATCTGAAGCTCTAAACCAGAAAGCTGGCAACAGAGAATAGCGGTCATGTGTGTTTGGAAACGGTGACTGTGTTCCATTAGCCAGCCCTTGGCAAAACCCCGGGAGCCCCTCAAGGGTGTCATCCCGCCTTCTGCTTCCATGGAGTCCCTCCTGCCACTGAAGTTAGAGTCAGGTACACAGTTGGTACTGAAGTAAGACCGGCAAGATCCAATGATGGAATGAGAGTGCCAAGCATCAAAACAGTCACGTCAAAGTAAAAACACACAAATGTTAGGGTAACGTACACACCCAACCCAGCAATGTGGCAGGATGCCTGTTGCACACAGTTCTTAGCTGCACACAACTGCTGCGTGTTTAATGGTGTGTTCTTTAGGCCATGACAAAATGTCCCCAAAGCCCTCAATCAAAACAGCCACATCAAAGTGCCAACGTCAAAATGCTATAAACCCACAAGTATTTATTGAGAGAGTTAAATAACTGCTCCAGGCCCATCGGAGTTCCTAACTTCTGCAAATAGAAATATAATTTTGAAAGTACATCAAGGCTCCAGCTTGCATCTGGGGACACAGAGGGCCCCCTGTGAACTCTTTGGAAAGGTTCAATACCAGTCTCACTGATCACTGCATCCCCAGAGGCCCTGTACTGGGGAAGATTATAAAATATAATGCCACATAATATTATATAACACAATATAGAAAGTATCTAAGCCTTATACATCTTCAGAAGAACAGATAGTTTTTAAAATGAGATTGCACACACATGCAGAGCTACATGAGTACTGGTTACTGAATATGCATAGCAATAATGGCAACAAGAAGAATACCTGTATTTATTGCCTACTCTGCAGCAGACACTCTACTCGGTAATGGGTAAGGGGCTATCCTTGCTCTGAAGGAGCTCATAAGGAGAGACAGAAAGTGCATTGCTCCTTACTGGTCTGCTTCACATATGGTTGCAATAAAGGTCTGTCCAGGATTGTGGGACCCCCTTTTCACGTCCTGTGTGGTTCAGGGTTCCGGTTCAGGGTTCAGGTTCTGGAGAAGGCCACACACAAATGAAAGAGACTAGAAAAATATTAATTTGGGAAATGGGGGTCAGGCAGAAGCCCAACTCTAGCGGGAGGACTAAGCCTTCTTTCGCCTTGCCACCTCTTTTATTCAGGTTTGGGATACACCCATTGCCCCAAGGCAGGTAAATCCAGTAACAGGCAGATTATCTTATCAGTAAGGATTTACATTATATTTGGTGGGGAAGTTGCCTCAGTTACCATTGTCTTAATTAAATAGGGAGTAGTTGGCTCTGCCCTTTCAGAGCTTCAAGGTTGACCAGCTTTCCAAGTTCCTTGTCCACACCTTTCTAATTAGTGAGACAGTGATCAGTTTCTGGCACATGATGCTATGGAAAATGGTTAGAACAGTAACTAACCTAGTGATAGAGAAGAGGAAGAGGGTTGTAAGATGGTTTCCAGGAACGACTGATGCTGAGTTGAATCTTAACGCATTGATTGGGTTTAATGTCTACAACCTCCACCAATCTGTGAACCTTGGGAGGGAGGACTGTGATCTTTTAACACCTGGTACCAAGTGCTTGATAAATGTTTGCTCAAAGCAATTAAGACCTGGAAAGCAGCTATGAAGGACACCTTGCTCTCCCTGGAGCGAGGCTCTCAGTGAGCCTCTTACCCTTCCTGCCTTTGTTCCACACATTTCCACTGGGCACTTATTACAGGCCTCAAGGTGTTCTAGGAGCCCAAGATATCGCAAATCAACGAAACAGACAAAGCCCTTGCTCTCACAGTGTGTATGCTTTAGTAGAAGAACAAATACATGAATAAATGCATTTCAAGTGGAGACTGCTGGGAGAAGAGGACCTGTGGGAGGAAGGTGGAGGCTCCTGCATCCGGGGCCAAGGAAGGTATCAAGGATAAGGAGGCATTTGAACAGAAACCAGGAGCAAGTGAGGGGTCTCCTAGTTAACTGTGCAATGTGTCCAGAGCTTAGCAAATACATGGGATGCACACAGTTTGGAAATCTGTAGTATATTCAAACTAGAGCCCAAGGCTCCCACCAGATGTGACTCCTGGTGTCCATGTGCTGGTTTTGAGCACTGACTCAAATGAGTGACAAATTAGTCATGCCTGGCTCTATTACCACCATGAATATGATGGGCTTTCAACAATTCTCCCATCTCCCAGAGGGAGAAAACCAGTTCCAGGGAGGGGAAAGCTAGACCTATAGGCGGGGATCTGAGGTCACAGCCTGCAGTTTGCTTCCCTGGCGATGAACAGAAAGGACAGGAGCTGGACTGGGTAGTCCATTGGGTAAACACAATAATTATTTCAAATGAGCACACTTACCCCTTATGAATACTCCTTCCTACTACCTGTGGCTGTGCAGACAGATCCCAACACTAAGCACCTGGAGAGCCCAGGGGTGGCTCGGTTAGACCAAATCCTCTAAGCCTGATGGGTTCCAATACCGGGGACCACCTCCATTTCCATTTGCGTGTCCTCTGAATGGAAGATTTTGCAATGCAATTCCTTAGCAATGGGAGTTTTCTGTGAGCCAACACTGTCAGGTCTCCCTCCATTGCTCGGCAAAGTAAGACCATGTGACGAGCCAGTTGTCTGGATAATTAGGAATTTGAACAATGGGCCTATAATTTTCTTCAGCCATAACTTCTCCATTAAAAGATTTAAACAGTTGTTAATTTTGCAGTGGCTGCCCTGTTGTTCTTTCTTATGCAAATCCACAGATCCTGCTTCGAGGACAAACTGAAAATATTTTTTTGTGTGTATGTGTGAGACTCAAAAACAGGAATATATAATGAGGCTGGTGCTAAGTTTTAAACTATTCACAGAACCTGCTTTGTATTAGCATTTGATTTCCCAGGCTCTGCCAAGAGCCTCTAATAATAGGCTCATTAGATGTGGTGGCAGATTCAGATCTCCTGCCTGCACACAGCAGCATCCTCTTATCTGGCACCAGATTCTTTTCTCCTCCTTCGTGGTTCAATGTGGTGCTGACAGAACATTTCCCAAGAAG